ATATTCCATCTGTTTCCTTCTAAAAGCATGTTCCCCCTTCCTCCCCACTCCCAGATAAGCAGAATTTTGAATTTTGTATTAATCATCCATTGCTTTTCTTTCAAGTTTTACCACTTTTGCAAACTGATTCACATTTGTTTTTAGACTTTAGGCAATAAAATAATACTTATATGTATTCTTCTGTACTTGCTCTTTTTGCTTAATTTATTTTTTTGAAATTCATCCATACTGGGAAGTCAAGTTCTAGGTCATTCATTTTTCCTATTGTTAAATGTCCCACTGTTCTGAATTACAACAACATATTTATCTCTTCTACTCTTGATGAACACTTACAAAAAAATGCAACCAAGAATACACCACATACATATGCTCAAGAATTTCCCTTGGATATATCTGGTGGTGGAGAGGTTATTTAAAATATTTAACCACCTGTATGACATGGGTACTAATCAGCAAGAAGAGCTGGCCATAAACCATTGGGTAACGCTACACACCAGTTTCAGCCCTGACTAGCAGAAAAATTTCTAGGACACAGGAAAGGCATGTTACAGAATGAAAGTGATTGAATGTATATGCCCCACTCCCAAGGGGAGTATGTGTAAATTCCTGCACTTCCATATCCTCACCAAATGTCTGATTTCCTAAATTTAAAAATCTGAAAAGTGTGAAAGGGTATCTTGTGTTTTTAATTTGTATTTCTTTGATTGCTAATGAAGTTCTCCAATGTTTATTCAACATTTATGTTACATTTGGCCTCAGAGCTTACTTTGCTGATATTAATACAGCTATACCAACTTTCTTTTGGTTCAGGTTGCTGGTATAAAATTTTCCATCCCTCTTCCAACATTTCTAGGTCTTTGAAGTTCAAATGTACCCTCTTGTAAACAACATCAAGTTTGGTTTTGTTTATATCCCATTAGAAAATACTGTAATTTCCTCTCTGGAACATTAACTATAATGACTGATATTGTTATGCATTATTTTGCTATTAGTTTAGTAGTTAGACTAGATTTCATCGTGAGTCCTTGACTTATTGCAGTCTCATACAAACTCTTACATTCTCACTCTTCAACAGTGCTTCAAGTCTGTACCATTTAACTCCACTTACCTCTCTCCTATCTTGTGATTGCTGTCATGCATTGTTGTTCTAGATATATTTTAAATTCCACAAGACATTTCAATTATTGTCTTGAATGACCCCCACTTGCATCCTGGACTCTGCTGGTGTAAAGCTACAGCTGGGACCGCTCTCCTAACCACTTCTTCTCCATGATATTGTAGGCATATTCTTACAAGGTCATATACTTTGGAGCTTATGTACATACTACAACACATATAGTTACAAGAGTATGTCCTATATATTCATCCCACTTGGACTGGGCAAGGGTGCTTTCCATTCACCAACGGTAGAAAGAGAGACCCATGAAATTCATTTATAAAGTCTGGGTGCTCACATTTGCTTTTCATGTGCCCCTTCTAGATCCTTTTTGATTTTATTAAAACCTGAAATCTGTTACTTGTCCCAGACTTCCTTGCCCACCATGCTCTCATCACATTTTGCCAAGGGGAGGCAGTTGTGCCCATTTAGAGGCTGCAGGAGCCCTCCTGCATTTGGTGGTTCCTCTGCCAAACTGCTAGCTCCTGCTGGAGTGTCAGATGTTCAGGCAGCAGCAGGCCAAGTGCGGCCCCACCACTGTCAACGGTAGTGGCAGGCAAGTGCTGGCTTTTCCAGGGAGGTAGCTAGCAGATGGGCAGCAGTACTATATGCTGCATTACCCAGCAAACACACTCTCAAGAGAAGATCTGGAATCAGTTATCTGCCCTACATTGGCTTCTGTGCCCTACTTGGGCTTAAATGCAGGGACAGTCTACCACCTGCCAGAGGAGACGGGATACTGGAAGTCCATGACAGACACTGACAAAACACTTGCCTACATGGTCTTCCGTGGTTGACTGGGATAGAGTACCTACCTAGACTGTAGCCTGCAGACAAGTGGCAGCATTCACCAATAATGCAGGAATGAGGACTTTAAGGATTATGGGTGGGTGGGTTTTTCTTACTATACTGAAGGATTTCATCAGCATTTCTGACACTGTTAAATTCTCCTCCTTGACATATTTTCTTGGCTCTCTTGGTTTCTAGTTTTTCCTTGGCTTTGAAATATTAGTATTCCCCAGGGCTCATTCTTTGGAATGTTTCATTACCTATATCCACTCCCTATATGGTCTCATCCAGTATCATGGCTTTAAATACTGTATGCTGACAGCTCTCAAATTTATGTCCGCAATCCTGCCAGAATGACATGCCAACCTCCTATTAATACTTTCATTGGAATGTCTAATAGGCACCATATTCTTAACAGAAATACTGATTTTACCCCAATCTGCTCTTGTCCCAGCCTTCACCATTCCAGTATAGGGCCACTCCATTTCTCCAGGGGTTCAAAGTCCACAGTTTCATTACAATAATATTAACTGTATTAAAATGCCTTCAGAGGTTACTAGCCTAAATTGACTTACAAAATTACTATAAAAAGGAGTTCATATTTTGCTTTCTAATTATGAGGTATGATTTATTTTTTTGTCAGAAAAATGCTAATTGTTTATTGTCCTAAAAAACATAAAAACACATTTGGATAATGTTCCTTATAGAAAATGAAAAAGAGAGAAAGTGTATAAAGTGATTAAAGATCAGTAGCATAAATCAGATAATATAGATGTCTAATCTTTGAAAAAAATGGAATAGAATGTTGATATTGTATGTACATGACAAAATTAAGTATTAATTAGAGGATTAAAGCCACTTCCAAACTTGATCTTGACACCACCACCAAGGTTACTTTGTGTGAGCCCTGAGTCATAAGTGTGTTTAATAAGACTGAAAATTTGGGGCGCCTAATTTTCAGTCCATTAAGCCTCTCACTCTTGATGCAGCTCAGGTCAGGATCTCACTGTTTGTGAGTCTGAGCCCTGGATTGGGCTCTGCCTGACAGCATGGAGCCTGCTTGGGATCCCCTCCCTCCCTCTCTCTGCCCCTCCCCTGTTTCTGTGCTCGCTCGCTCTCTCTCTCTCTAAACAAATAAACATTTAAAAAAAAAAGAATGAAAATTAACCTAAAACAATCTAAGGACAATCTTGGAAGTCTGGCTTAATATATTTACAGGACTGTTGGGAGTCATTCGGACTCACTAGCCGAGAATACTCCTTGTGAGGTTAAGGCAGGTTTGCAAGGCCTCCTGCTGTCAGATGATGACCAATATCCACCCCCACTCAGTTATTTCTGCTTGAGCACCAACCCCTGAGGCACCTTGTTGATTGGTATCAGGAGTGACTTATTCTGGCCCTAATATGCTGACTGCACCTTGTGAAGGAACTTATTATAGGAACTGCTTCTTTTGTGATTATGGGAGCAGACATTGTGTTTCCTGAAAATCCTGTTTTGCTTATACTTCCCCTTAAGGCAAACAGGCTATTGATCCCTGCTCACAAAGAACTAACTTTTGCCTTTGCTATACTAAAAACATTGTCTTGTTTGTATTTGAATGCTAAAGATACCTTCCTTCCCCATATGATAAGCATCTAAATCACCTACATCAATCACTATTGATAAAGATAATACACGAGTCTTCTAAAAATCTATGTTCTGGGAAATTTTTACATATCAAGGAAATTTGTCATCAAAATCATTGTCTAAGGCAAATGTCACTTCTGTGCTATTCCCCATACACTTAACCATAAATAAAGCTAAGTCTCAGTCAGTGCAGAGATGCCTGCCTGGTGACCAGAAAGAATCTCATTGCTCTCTCATCTCTCTCTCTCTCGTTGACACCGTCCACCCTTCAGGGACCCCTGGACTGGCTGAAGCGGACCCGGGCACAGGATTCCTAAGCTTAAATTCAAAATCCAATTATATGGATGCTAAAATGTTACACTGGACATTGGACAAGAGCTAAAAGATAAAATACAGGAACTCTAGTTAAATTTGAATGTCAGATGAATAATAAATCTTTTAGTATAAATATATCCCATGCAATTTTTAAAAAAATTATTTATTTTTAAAGAGAGCGAGCGAGCGAGTAGGAGAGAGGGGAAGAGGGAGAGAAAATCTGAAGCAGGCTCCAAGCTCAGCACCAAGCAGGTGAGGTGGGAGGGCTCCATCCTAGAACCCTGGGATCATGACCTGACCTAAGCCAAAATGAAGAGTCGGATGGATGCTCAACTGACTGAGCCACCCAGGAGTTCTAACCCACCCCAGCCCCCACCCCTGTGCAGTGTTTATACTAAAATCTTACTCATTGTTTATCTAAAGTTAAAATTTCACTGAGCAATCTCTACTTTAATTGCTAAAGTGGGAACCCCATAAACAAAATGAATTAAAACTTTTGTGTGTTTCAAAGTTGCAACGCAAGCCACATGGCCCACTTGAGAAAGTTGGGATGCTATACCAGTGCTCTAAGTGGTGCCTCTCCATCATCTCACCCCTTTCATCTTCTAGGCTCCTAGAGTTAGGGAGCCTTCAAGGGTGGCTCAGTCACCTCACGGTGGAACACAAAAGTGGAACGATGTTGGCTTTGTGATAAGAATTCTTTAATCAGACCTTCACCCATTTCTGGAAACGATGGGGAAGAGGAAGGCGCCGGCAGCGGCAGGGACGCAGGGTACACCGTGGGCCCTTGAACCTGGGGAGGGAAACCCAGTGCGCAGGTAGGGAGTTGGGAGGTCCCCGCGGGCCAATCGTTAGCGCGCGCGCCTGGCGGAGGTCGTGGCCGCCGGGGTAGACCAAGGGCGTCCGTTACAGCTTCACCGCCGGTCGTGCAAGGGCCTGGTGTGGGGGCGGGGGCTACAACTGTAAAACACCTCATACGAGAGCGGGCAACAGAGCCAGGCTCTCATGTCACCCACTCTCTCTTCCACCCGGCCGCCCCGGCAAAGGCAGTCCCGGAGCCCCGGAGCCAGAGAGGGCGGGAAAGAAGGCAGAGAAGCCACCACCCGCAGCTTACTGATTTGAGTCATCCTGGAGATGCAGAAGCAGGAGAAGCTGAAGAGCACGAAGGCGGCCACCGCGATCAGCACGTTCACGTGCTTGGTCCTCATGAAGCTGGCCTGAGGGGGGCGGCAGCCGCGCCCGGAGTGGAGAGGACAAGCAGCGCCCCCCCTCCCTCCGCCACCGAGTGGAATCGGAGCGCGCGCCGCCGCGCCTGCGCCTCTGGACGCTTGCCCAGCGCCCCCTGCCGGACGCCGCGTCCGTGAGGACCCCAGCACGCCTGCCCTTTGGCTCAGCGCGAAGCATCCCGAACCCCTTGCTAGGGCTGCTGGTAGTTAAATGCCATAAACTATGGGAAAGCTCTCCACTGCCTGGCACAGTGGTGGGTGCTCAGTGACTGTTACTTTATTTTCCTGCAGCAGTGACTTCTGTGCCAGACCCTAGGCTAAGCGGTTTGCATGTATTACCTCAGTAAATCCTCACAACATCCCAATTTTTTAAGGCAATAAAGAGAATAACATCTAATATGCTCTTGTTGTCTTCCTTTTACCTTGAAAGAAAGGAGCCATTGTGAAATTGAGCTACAGGATACACAGCTGGAAGTAGTTCTGCTACAAATCTTGTACATAGATAAGTTTATAAGTAATATAGAAGTTCTTAAATAATGATGTATCTTTAGCTTTAAATGAAAGCCATCAAGTGCCCAAATAACGTAGGGGGCTTAGATTTTTGTGTGGGAAATGGCCAATGCCAGTCTTTCAGCTTAATCCCTTTATCTTTTATATTTTGGTATCCTCCCCCCAGAAAGGATGAGGGAGTCAACTTTTAGGAAAGAAAAAAGTTATATATACAATGAGCACTGCAAGGGAGGTTTGCTAAGCTTTGCCAAGTTCAAGGTATCAGTTTCTCAGCCCTTTACAAGCCAAGGCTGGGAAACACTAGGTGAGAAAATCAGTGGGTAAGGCCCTTTGGGCTCCATGAACTGTGGCTTGCTATTGGGTTCTCCACACTAAGCAGTCTTCTTTTTGTCTGTGTCTGGTTATAAGCGTTTTACTTGGAGCCAGCACTGTACCTCAGGCTGGGCTAGTTTCTGGCTCCTTGAAAGAAAAGAAAGATTTGAACACATGCCAGCTTAAGGATGCCATTATGAGCTGTATCTTCTCATGTGATGATGGCCAGGAGTTGTGACCTTCAGTCGAGCAGTGACCCAGCCAGATCCCAGGATTGGAAGCTGGGAGGAATGCCTCAACTTTATTCTCCTTCATCCCGTTAGTCGCTTGCCAGTGGCTCCCATTAGCTAAGTTCTACTGGAAGCCAGAAGGCAAGGACATTCTTTGCAGTGTATTCGATCTTAAGAACTGCCTCCTGGGATATGGAGTAGGGTGGAGAAAGATGTAGACTGACATGTGGGAAGAAGCTATGCAGCACAAGGGATCTCCAAATTCAGATCTCATAGTCCTCTTCCTTGGTCCCCAGTTTCACAACTTTCAGCTTTTTGTTGAAAGCAAACGATGTCACAATCCACTAGCAGCATGCAGGGAAAGTTTTTAATCCTCTCTGAGCTAGGGTTCCTCAACAGAAAGTTGGAATGAATATCTGTCCAAGGCTGTTGAGTTAAATAACATTCAAAAACAGTTAGCATATTTCTTGTCATTATGTAATGCTCAATACATTTTGGTTTTCTGTTGTTGCTCATCAGAGCAGTATTCACTTTCTCACGAATTCTAATTATTATTTTTTTCTACAGCAGATTCCCTGCTCAAACATCTTTCTTGGGGCACCTGGGTGGCTCAGTTGGTTAAGTGTCCGACTTTGGCTCAGGTCATGATCTCACGGTTTGTGGGTTCAAGCTCCATGTCACGCTCTGTGCTGACAGCTAGTTCAGAGCCTGGAGACTGTCTTCAGATTCTGTATCTCCCTCTCTCTCTGACTCTTCCCTGCTCACACTGTCTCTCTCTCTCTCTCTCTCTCTCTCTCAAAAAAATAAATAAAACATTAAAAAAAATTTTTTAAATCCTTCAGCAAATCTCTGTTGAAAGTGAAAAGTCCTAGAATCGAGAACCTTACACAATCTAGTACCATCTACCTTCCCAGCTGTTGTATCTATCTCAGCTATGTATATGCCTCTAATTTAGTACTTAACAGTTTTACTGCACTCAAACTCACCAAATACCATGTTCTCAAGATTCAAAAAAGCATTTTGTTCTCACATCTTAATGCTTTTGAAATCCTCATATGTTCTCTGATTTTTATATTTTTGTTATTTCTTTTTCTTTTGTCTTTTTTTTCCCAAAGAAAAGAAAATCCAAAACCCTGATAACCAGTCCATGGTTTGTCTATGAATCAGAACACGTGATATTTATTGAACATCTACTCTGTGCCAGTCACTGACTTAGGTACTGGAGCTACAAATAGTCACCTGTTGGTTTTTGACTCCACCTTCTTTATCCTCAAACACAGACTGCACCACACACACACACACACACACACACACACACACACACATTCATATCCCTACTTTTCAAAAGTATTCAAGACTTAACTGAAATGTCACTTCACAAAGCCTTCATTGATCGCCCATATATAAAGAAGTCTCTATGCTGTCTGAAAGCTTGTAGCCCTTGGGTCCTCTCTCGGGACACTCAGTCTGCATCACTTATCTGTTATGCAAGGATTTTATTTCTGTTACCATGTTATAAGTCCCTGAAAGAAAAAGATGATGAGTTACATATTTGCATATCATATTCCCCATTGTGCATTTGAGGATGTTTTACAGATGAAAGGTTTTGATTGAAACACAAGGCTATAGTACAACTGAGCCATGTTCACAACTAACCACCTATTGTCACTACCTGCTACCATTCAAGCCGACAAAAAATATCATGCCAGGAAATCCAGGCAAGAATGCAGTAGCGTTTTTCAAAGACCTTCACACTTCCCTTTTGTGGTTTGTTTTCTAAAAGTAGTGGCATATTCAGACCGTGAGGGGAGTAGAACATTGCCAGGCTAAATAATTACTAAATATTTATAGGAATATCTATAAGAATAATAACAGGGATGGGAAAAGTATCCTGTGGGGGTATTACCAGCACTACAGCCATCGGGGCTTCTAGAGTTAATTTCAGTCTAAACGGCGGTCTCAGGACCATTATTAGCACAGAATAAACCTACCAGCGGGGGCAGATTTTTCTAGTCTTGTATAAACGTAGGATCCTGAAGGTGAAAACTCGGTCTGAAAGATAATAACTTGATAAAATGCCAGTTGTCCTGGTCCTATTTTCTGTTTCAAGTGATTTAGAAATAAGTCATCTGTGTCCAGGGCGAGTGCCATCTGTTCAGCACAGTTCGGGAAAACGACGGTGCTGAAAGGGACTTTCATGGGTCATCTAGGACAGCCCTCCTTCTTAAACAAGAATCACCTGGAAACCTTGTTAGATGGATTTCTGGGCCCACCCTCCGTTTCTGATTTAGCAGGGTAAGGCTAGGACTCCAAAATTTGCATTTCTCACAGGTCCCAGATGGTACTGATGCCACTGGTCTGAGGAATGGTACTTTGAGAACCACTGCATAATAATAGCCCTGCATGGAATCATAGGTTGGACTTAGAAAAAAGGTATAGATTACCCAGTTTATTCTCTTTGCCCAAACCATCCCCAAATACTTATTTGTTTTTTTAATTATTTTTTAAATGTTTATTTACTTTTGAGAGAGAGAGAGATAGAGAGAGACAGAGAGACAGAGACAAAGTGTGAGCAGGGGAGGGACAGAGAAAGGCAGACACAGACTCTGAAACAGGCTCCAGGCTCCAAGCTGTCAGCACAGAGCCCCAGGCGGGGCCACAAACCTCGAGATCATGATCTGAGCTAAAGTTGGATGCTTCAACAACAGAGCCACCCAGGCACCTCCAAAATACCCATTTAATAAAGACACCACATTCTCTGCCACCAACGAGGGGGATTCCATTATGTGCGCTGGTAATTATATTCTAGAAGTTAACAATATTTACAAAAATTTATTTCCTAGCCCTGAATGTACAAAGATGGGCCTGGTTAGGTAAACAAAAACAAAAACAAAACAAAACAAAACACACACAGAAAGCTTCCAGTTTCTAGGATTGTCTGCTGACTTGAAAGGCTGTAATCCTACCAAAGGGGCCCGGCCTAGGTGAGGGCTGAAATTGGCCCTTGCTCCGGCTGCGCTCTGGTGCCAGACTGGTTCAGTTCAGAGCAAGGAGCGCATCTTACACCAAGGCACACAAAAGCATCAAGTAGGCTGGCTGAAGCCTCATCATCCCTGGAAGGAGTGAACAAGGACAAGACATTGCCTTGGGTCCCAACAAAAGTTAGGAAGCAGCATGGGTACCACATAGGGCACCTAGAAAAGCAGAGGAAAAACAAGCATAGCTTATCACAACCCAAAATGACAATGCCACTCTATTACCATTGGGGCCGGGGTACAGGGGTCCTGTGTCACAGGTTTTCTCCAGATTACCCCGGCAGAGTTTTCGAGCCAGATGTCAAAATCAGCTTCAGTCTGATTTTTAAGGAGAATAGCTCTTAGGTCTTCTCCCATCATCAGCCATGATGTAGCTTTACATCTGAGAGAAATCACTGTGATCACTTACCCTCAGACATTCTCAAGGACTGAGAATGGCAGTCTCTTTCCCCAGCATCATCTCTTGTTTGTTCTCCTTCTTCTAAAATATCATCTCTTTTCCATTTACCACCTGTCAGAATACAAACCTGATCTCCCCAGGCGAGGTCCTCGGGTCAGCCATACTCTCAATCCACGAAAAGAGCAGCAGTCGGAAACTTGCTAAAGCCTCCCTTTGTCCATGTCCAGGAAGAAGTGGGAGGCTTGCCTCGGTCAAGTACGATGCGGCTATCTTCCCACTCTATGGGGCGACTGGGAGAAATGGAGTGAGACCTACAGCCAATCCTTGTTTGGCCACATGATGTGAAGCTGAGTAGGGAAAGGGTTAACATGAGGCAGGGAGAGACAAGGGAGCCTCAGGGAGGCGGGCTGCAGCTGTCAGGGGGAGGCTGAAGAAGCAGTGGGGGGTGGGGGTGGGGGTAAATGTATTCCAGACCTGCATGGGCTAGGTGTCCTGAGTGGAGTCTTACAAACTTTCTGACAAAGTGCCAATAAACATTCAGGGACAGAAACCCTCTGCAGCTACCCAGGCAGGACCCCTTCCACTCTTGAGAGAGCTTTATACTTTCGCTCAATAAACTCGACTGCTTTGCTCACTCTCTGTTGTCCTCGAGATTCATTCTTTGAATCCTTGAGACAAAACCAGTGTCTCTTCCACCCTTCTGTAACAAAGTCTCTATCCAACACAGGGCGTTCCTTAAAAAGATGCATACTTAGGGTGCCTGGGTGGTTCAGTTGGTTAAACGTCCAATTTGAGCTCTGGTCAGGATTTTAAGGTTCATGGGTTCGAGCCCCACATCAGGCTCTCTGCTGTCAGCACTGAGCCTGCTTCAGGTCCTCTGTCTCCCTCTCTCTCTGGCCCTCCC